ATTTTTTTTTGTCACATTCTGTCTCTCACAGTTGAAGTGAACCTATGATGAAAATTACAGACCTCTGTCATTATTTTAAGTGGGAGAACTTGCACAATTGGTGGCTGACTAAATACTTTTTGCCCCACTGTAGTCATCGCACATATTATGATATTCTGTGGGTCTTGAGAATCAGTGAAATCAACAAAGACGGTTGGTAGTCAATGACTTAAGCGACTAAATAAAGTCAAGTCATATCTATCCGACTCATGGATCTGCTGCAGAATGGTATTAATTTAAGGGATGGATGTCATGTGTGTAGTTTAGTGTAGAGCCCACATTCTCTGCATGTAAACAGTCTTCAAAAGCATGCCACTGTAACTATTTCACTTCAACAACGTACCCAGGGACATGATGGACAAACTCTTGTATTCATTGCATAATACTACAATTTTAGCTCCATCAGTGGACCACATAATTTACTGCAGTAACATGATTTCTTCCAGTTTTGCACTTATAAAACTGGTGCATATCACAGGCTCTTCTTCCTGAGGCACAGATTTGCATATTATTAAAAATGTTCACTCATCTCGTCCTCATATTTTTTTTTCGCTCCCACTTTTCTTCATTAAAGTTTGATGTGGAATTAATATCTCACAATCCTTCAAGAGTCAAGCTGCCGTTGTTAGAGAAAATGTCTGGTTCTTCTCTTCTTTTGATTTTATTTTTTAATATAATACAAATTCAAATCATCAACATACAAAAAACAGACACACTTTTAACGATTAACAGCAACAATGACAGACGCACAATACTAAAGAATGAAATGTATTGTGTAGGGCTAGGGATCTCTACAATACAATCTGTGATACACGGCTCTCGATACGATATTATCACGATATACCAGTATCGATATATTCCTCATATAATTGTCAACAATATTTTATGAGCCAACTTTTCACATTTTTACTAATACTTTTAATGAGCATAAGTTTGGATATTATTTTTTTTCATTTCATTTTCTGAGTACAGATTAACATTTTTTTCTTTCCATTTTAATTATCACCCATTAAAATGACCTTTTCGGTTTAATCGTCAGAGTAAAATAATGAATGTGGTTGCTTTCCTGCAGGAATAAGCTTAAAAATGAGGTTGAACATATCATGGTCGCTCATTATGGTCCCTTAAATAGAATCCTCTGAGGTTAATGAGGTTAACATATTGATTCTTGGAATAAGCGCATAGATTATCAATTGACAAAATATTGTGATATATCGCAGTATCGATATTTTGGATTACCCTCATGATAAGATATAGAGCAATAGGGAGGAAAGAGATAAGTTATTGTATTTATAATTAAAGAGAAAGACAAACAAACATACAGAAATATTATGATAGATTAACGTCGTTATCACTCGGTTTTAGAATTGATAATTTTGTGCATTTATTTAGATTCACACCTTATCGGTTTGCTCGTGCCACTCGTTACAACAGGTTTGCTCGTGGTTTCATAGCCGCGTGTCTTCCGTCGCACATTAACCCCATTAACAGGTTTTTCCCTGGGAGCTCACAGATGTCAGTTGTCAGAGTCGCTGTGGCAGAGGTGAGCCGTTCTTCATGGCACCAGACGTCCCTACAGTCGAGAGTGACTGAGTGTGTGCGTTTGCGTGTGGCCCGGGTTCTGCTCAGATGTCACAAACCAGCAGTAATTAGTCCAGGATCCTGCACTGGGCCACACCGCATGAATTAGCATAAAAGGGCCAGAAGGATCTGTTCCCACAAACCTGCCCTCGTCTGCATGTCATTACTCGGCTCTTCTCAGGAGTCATTTCACTCCCAGAAATATTCTGAATCATCATTAGCATTTAGCAAAAGGGAACATGCAAATAAATGGAGCTCCCCAAGTTATTTCTCTTATAGCATTGTTTTGAACCATATCTTTAATAAAGCACCACTGGGGCCTTAGACGATCATATTATATCACACAGAATCAAAGTATGTCCCCTAAATCCAAGCCCATACTCGCTTGGAGAAAGGTGACTTGCTCCTTTGCAATGGAGAAGCTGATCAGATGGAATCCTGGAGTGTCTGGTGATTGAAGCTTGCCCGGCCTGCCAGACACTCCTCCTTTCTGTTCAAAAGAAGAACCGTCTGGACACCTCTTCCTAGCCTATCATTTCACGATTTTACCCACATCGGTCCAATCACGCACCGAGAGGCGGGACTTCCTTTCACCTTTGAGTTGCTAATAACTCCTCGTATCTTTAAGTTTTTGTTACAAAATCGACAGCAGTCGTTTACATTTGCACTAGCTGACATGCCGCCATCCCTTGTTTTGTGTTTACTGAAACGGCTTGGGTGCCGCTAGTTGCTGCGTCATATCCTGTGTGCATCTAATTGGTTGATGCAGTCTGTCAACCACGCCCACCGGGAATTCGCAGAGATCAAGCTCGTTCCCAGACTATATGTCTTTGAAAAAGCATATCGTTTGGCAGGCCAGGCAAGATTGAAGCGGCTGTATCAGATCGAATAGACCAGGAGTCGGCAACTCAAAAGGTTCAAGAGCCATATTTGACTAAAAAACTGAAAACAAATCTGTCTGGAGCCGCAAAAAGATAACAGATTTGCATAAGGCTCCTATGAAGGCAACACAGGCTGTAAGTGTATACCATCAAAATGACTAAGTAAAGGCAAATACATGATATGCATTCATATTACAGATTATCCCATGGGTACAATCTAGAGCAGCCATTCCCAAACTCAGTAACACCGAGGCCCCCTTAAAAATCTGACGGGTCTGCGTGGCCCCCCAAAATAATAACCAAGAAGACAACATTAAGAATAGGCTCTTCTGGTTATTTTATTTTGGGGAAATAGCCTCTGCTACAAACATTGTAATATAAAAATGATTACAGTGGATTATTCAAGACAAATAATGACCACAAATATTTTAATATTACAAACAAAACGTTATAAATTTAACATTAAATAATTATATATATATATTTTTTTTTTTTATGACCTCCCGCGGCCCCCCTGCAGTACCCTCGCGGCCCACCAGGGGGCCGCGGACCCCACTTTGGGAGACACTGATCTAGAGTGATGTGTTCATTAACATGTACTGTCCCAACCAAAATGAACAAATAAAATAAATAATTATGAAACGTATATTTTCAGTGCAGCGCATGGAGATGATAACGCGCCACGTGACTACTCTGCTTTAAGTTTAACCTCCATTTTGTTGCGTTCATGAAATTTGAAATAAATGTGCTTTTTGGCTCAGAGCTCACATATCTGCTACAGCACTGTCAGCTCTTATCGACCCCGTCACAGGCTGGAGTCTGCTGGAGCTGAAGTCCTTCAATGGCCCTTTCTTTCACCGTCTTTGCGGAGGTTTTTGAAATCTGAAAAAATAGGCTTCGATATTTTGATGAATGAATCCTTCATGTAATCACAGTGAACAATATTTCACGCTTCATTGTTCCTCGTGTTGCAACAAAACTTCTCATTACGAAGCAAACAAGAAGCAGTCCTTTCTCATTGTCAGCGAAAGCAAATGTTTCAGTCCATTCTTCCTTGAATTCGACTTTCACTTTTTAGCTTTGGGATCCATGTGTCTCAGGATATGACGCAATTCCGCAGCTCAGAGTGCTTAACAAACCAAGAAAAGATAGATTAAAGTTGCACAAGGCACTAAATAATGAAGATAAGATGCAATCCTTCAGTTGTATGCACAGCTAGACTGAACTGTTCACATTTAGTTCTGGATATTTTTTTCTGAACAAAATGTGATAAGTTATGTTCAACCAAAATGGGACCAAAGCTAACGGAGGACTATAATATTCAACTGATTGGACAATTATCTTAATCTTACAATTATTTATAGTTAATTATCTGTCAATGTTTAGAGTACAGTAAATGGCGTGGCTGCTTTTGAGAACTGTGTGAACGTATTTGTGCCATTGTAGCCTTCAGTAACCACTTACTCTCCAAACTCGCACGCTCAGAATCATTTAGTAGTGGTCCATTTTGGGCAGGATTATTAATGTTTTGAATGTTTTAAGTACAAGTACATAATCGCTCGAGCTTCAGATGCAGGACAGTCCAGTATAACCTTCAGCATTGAGCAAAAAGTGATGTGTGTCGGGTCAGAGTGTGTGTTCTTGTGTGTCTTTGTTGTTTTTATATGGTTTTGGGTGATTTTGTTTGGGTAATTAGCGTCTCTTTCATCCAACCCCTTGTAGGAAGTTATGTTGTTATTTTGTCGAGTGGATTTGTGTTGTATATGTTCTGAAATAAACATACATGCATTGATTTGTCTCTAGAAATCCCTCCATACCTGAAGTAGAACGGTTTAGAGCTCTTCTGCTAATCATGCTTCATCTAAATGTTTCATTGACAACCCTGTGATGTGCACAGAGGAGCATCCACACACTGGACTCTTCTGCAGCATATGACTTATTTATCCTCCCTTCATGAGCATATTTAGTGGAGTTGACAGCGAAAAGGCAGAGCTTGGCACGCCTGACCTCGATGAACGCTGCCAATAGAGAACAGAGAGTCCAAGGACAGTCTCTCTTCTCATTGGACACTGCAAATGCACACTGCAATGAATATATGCCATAAAAACATGGTATAAAAACGTGAATAAATGCATTTTCGTTGAACCTTCCTGTGTGATTGCATATACGGCTTGTTTTTTCCTCTAGACTAAAACTGAAATGATACTGCAAAAGTTGAATCAAACTCACATGTTATTTTGAATTCAGAATACAGTTTTTCAAATAAGACAAAATATGATTTACTGCACCAATCCACCTAGGGCATTATTCTTCTCTTTTCAAAACCTTGAGCTTAATTCTTGGGGTTCACACTAAATCTAAATTCTGGCCTATATGGCCTGATACCAATGAACACACCTCTGTGGGAAGTTGCCTTCTGTTGTCCCACAGTCCCACTCACAAACTCTCATTCACACCTCTCATTGAAAAGTTCAATTATTGTTTTTGGTTTTCTTCCAGGTCACATTTCGGTGGAAGGTTTCGCCCGGTACCTGAGTGCAGAGGAGAACAGCATCATCCCCCCGGAAAAACTGGACCAGAGCGAAGACATGACCTACCCTATGTCCCACTATTTTATCAACTCTTCCCACAACACGTACCTCACGGGTAAGTCAGCAGAGCATGGTCACAAGTCTAGACTGGTTAACTAGTGACGTGATCCTCAACCCCCTTTAAGTCTGGAGTGGAGAAGTCGCAGTGTAGATGGGTTGCACAAAGGTTCTTGTACAGGCTAACAGCCGAATGGAGGAAAGACCTGCAGAACTTCCCCTTCACACAGTGAGGGTGGATCAGTCTGTCACTGAAGCTACTCTCTAGAGCAGCTTCAGAGCGACACGGTGGCTGAGTGGATAGCACTCTCGCCTCTCAGCAAGAAGGTCCTGGGTTCGAATCCTGGTCGGACCAGGGCCTTTCTGAGTGGAGTTTGCATTTTCTCCCCGTGTCTGCGTAGGTTTCCTCCGGGTACTCCGGTTTCCCCTACCACTAAAAATATGTCCAATAGTTCTGGCATGCGCTTCCTGTACTGGCGACCCCGCTCCCATCTCTGTGTGGAGTGAGAGACAAATGCCCAAAATTAACAATTGTAAACCGCTTTGAGACTCAGATCTGCAGTGAAAAGGTGGTATATAAATAAAAACTTACTTACTAGAGCAGACAAACAGTCTGCTACAGTCCTGTCCTCCACCTGTTGCATTCTTTCTGTCCAGAGGACAACTCAGGACTTCCTGATGACATTGTCCAGCTTCTTCCTGTTCCTCTCTGTGATGCTGCTGCTCCAGCAGACCACACCGTGACCCTGGCTTTAACAAACTGGGTCTTTCTTATCTTATCTTATCTGGATTTGTCATCTTCATTCTAATATATCTGATTTAACTCATGGCCGATTTCATTTACCAGCCCGTATTCCATTTCCATGAACACATCTTCTATTCACAGCATAATAAAATTGCAGCTGCACAAGTGAATGCACCTTTCCTCATGGTGGTCAGTCAATCACAGAGTTTGGAGCGCGTCCGTGTCACCTCTTATAGGCTTATCCAATCATCTGTCTGCAGAGAAATTCATGGTTCAATTCATTACCATGGCGTTGCAAAGGCATGGCTGGTTCAAGACATTTGCCATTTTATTTTCAATGGTTATTATGATTCATGTATTCAAATATATTCCAAAGGGTATCGAGTCGACTGGCTCAAATAGATCAAATCTCTTTCAACCCGCAATAGAATTAAATTTGAGAAAGAGGCCAGTGTGAAAGCATTCAGAAACAATGGTATTAGAAAAACAAACGGGTTGAGTTACTGTGTGGAACAATTTATACAGCAAGGCTATACAAACACGATTTACAATTGAATCAGCTTTGAAAGAAGACATTAGTGAATACCTTTTGCTTTCCGAGACATTGATTCATCATCAACAAAAGCAACCCCTCTACAGGGCTCAAGACTTTGTTGTTTTGAAGCCTGTTGTGTTTAACAGGTTGATACAGTTGATGTTATAAGTTTACACACCTTAGCAAAAATACTTTATATTTCTAAATTATTGATGCATTATCCAGGTAAAACAAAAATCAATCAAATCAATAATTGATTCAGTTATTTCAAGTTATTACACGGCTCCTCACAGCAGCAGTAGAACGCTCCATTGATTTTAATGTAATTTAAAAATGTTCTACTGGTCTTTATTTCTTGATAACCGGCCTCTCAAAACAAAAATGGCCGCTGCCCATGGTCCGCTCCGCCCTGTCGGTACTTATTTTCCGATAATGACCTGAGTACTATACATTATCCCTTACACATTAGGAAAAACTGTGATTGACACTAACTTAACTGCGTCTATAGTTTGCAAATGATAGCATGGCTTCAGGAGCTTGCCCTCAGACCCTCCTGCAGTGAAGAGGAACAAGTAAAAAACCCATTGGGAGACTCCAATGGACACACAGGCTGTAGATCGAGGACTAAAGAGGCTCCCAGGCGGGGAACGGGTGCAGCCCATAGTACCGGGCCGGGGGGCGACCAGTTCACAGGTGCAGTTCTAGGAAGGGTTTCGAAGTCCCATCATCACGCCATTAAACAGACTGCAGGTGAAGTCATAAAGATGATACCACACATCATTCGTGCAAGTCAACCTCCAGAGTGGTGCATTAAATGTTTGAACTTTTTGTTTTGTATAGATTGAATATGTGTCCCTGTATGTGTGTGTCTGTGTTCTTTATGATATAGCATGAAGGTCATGCTATATAATTGCTTCACAAATGGAGACAGAGTGATGAGATCTAAATGTTCTGCTTCAAGCCACAACTGTACCACTTCCAATGTCACAAAAGCAACTCGGCACTTATGGACTAATCCATTTTTATTATCGTAGCAAGTATAAAAAAAAACAGTCTTGGTTTACAAGATTTGAAACGTGAAACTTGTTACTAGAAGAAGGAAACAGCTGGAAGTTACACGTTTTCTTAGGTGAAAGATCGATGCTACGTCATTCTTCACTGGCTTCTGAAATGGACCAAGAAATATTTGCATCTATTCACAAGTAATAAGCATCATTTGATCAAACATAAAATTACAATGTTACTTTTTCTTTGCAGCTGGTCAGCTCGCGGGGAATTCGTCAGTGGAGATGTACAAACAGGTGTTGCTGTCCGGCTGTCGCTGCATCGAGCTGGACTGTTGGAAAGGCCGCACCACAGAGGAGGAGCCGGTCATCACACACGGCTTCACCATGACCACAGAGATCTCCTTCAAGGTAACGGTCAACATCTGATTTTGTTTTTATCATGTTGGCTATTAACACAATGTAATTTTCTCTATTTACTAAATCCATCCACAGTAAAACCAGGAACATGTAACTCCTGTCTCAGTCCTGTTATTGTATGGTATGATGTCATTGTACCACTGCGACATCACACTTAAAACAAATGTATTGCGCCTATAATTAGTTTTGTCAATTTATCAAGTGAAATTATGGTCTTTACAATCGCAGGCCTGTGTTTGCAGGTGGTCGAAAATGCTATCCATGTCCATGCAGTGCATTGGGATAGACGTCCTTTTGAAGAATAAGTGGCGCAGATTTGTGCTGGCGTGACATTATATTTTAGATCGAGTTTTGATGAAACAAGGAAGAGATGTTTCGGGTCGCAGATTGTGACCAATCACAGCGGACCACTAGCCCCCACTTTCGTGAGAAATCTACAGTACAGGTCCGTTAGCATAGACGGCTGAGTTAGCACAACAAGCCGAGGATCTAACCTGAAGCTTCATGTGTCTTCGTCACCGGTTACTGCTTACACAGCAAGACAGCCATCCAAAATAAAGTCTTGTTCCTCCGCGCTTCCCGGTTCTATCGTTCTATGGTCACGCCATCCACGTGAAAATCCATATCCATGTATTTATCCATATTGGGAGACGCTAGCTCCGTCCCAACATTGAGTGTGTGTGGGGGGCGATAGTGTGAGATTTCATAACACTTTTAAGCAACTTTTGTTAAAGTTAAACTCATCAATCTATCAATGTGCAGAAGCCAGTACTTTTCCCTTGTTTTGTCTATCTGAAGGCCAAGCTACATGGCACCGTGGAAGCTGCTGATTGGAGGTCTCCATGCCTCCGCTCTGTATAATACACTTGCATTCTATTGTATCTGTGATCGTGTGTTTTGATCGTGCTGTCTCTACCATCGACAATAAAACATGTCTTCTGTCTGAATTAAAGACGCGATCCCAGACTATGTCATCTTCTTCAATAGCTTCGTGGGTGCAGGGAGGGGAGCAGAAAGAGCGAGGCCAGCAGGTCCGTGGCTTCAAAATCCCAAAGTCAGTTAGTGCAGCTTTAAATTTGGATAGAAACAAGTTCAACACAGCACATGCGTGTTTTTACCCTTTTCTAGAAGATATTGTTTCACTTTCTAAATCATGAAATGACATTAGCCAATTAAAATGTCTTCTTTTAAAGGTTTAGAGGAGGATTATCCAAAATTTTAGGAAAGAACTGCCCTCTCCACTTTTTGAACAAAACTCTCTGGTCTTATTTGATGAGCACGTATCACCAGAATGATTGACACTTGGGAGGACCAATAGTCTTGATGATCCACCCAGAAGTAGAAAATCCTCCAATATACTTTTAAGAAGCCTTTTGTATTGTTCACAAAATCTTCTTCTGTATTGTAACACAAAGCATCTCATTATAAACTGTAAAATGAATTCTGATTTAACTGTTCTGTAGGCGATTGATCAAAATAATGAATACATATATTATATATTCTGTATATATGTATTTTTTTCTGTCATTATACAATTGAGAGGTAGCAGTTTTTACAGTTTTTTGTCCAATCCAAACCCGCTACTTTTGTGATATGAACAATCTAGTGCTAATTAAATAACACAAGACCTTAAATACTCATGGCCAAAAAAGAGTAAAGCCAACTTGTTGCAGCAGCAGTAGTAATATTTGCAATAGTAGGCTCCATACAGATTTATCTATCTATCTACCCGTCTGTCTGTCTCTCTCTCAATCTAAATGATAATGAACAGTTGGGCGTGGGAGCTGATAGCAGAGAGCAAAAGGCAGACTATGTTTTGATTGGCATTAGGAGGCCATCACAGGGGCAGCTAAATGAAGGAGAAACTAGAGAAATGGTTTTGCAGCAGTGAGCTGTGAAAAGTAAGGGCAGTGCAGGTGTGACGGTTCAGAACAAGTGCGGAGTGATTGATCGAGAGAATTTAGACCTAACGAGAGAAGCAGAAGAGGAATGGCAGACGTGATAGAGTTGGTCTGATAAAGGAAAACAAGATGGGACACACACAAGCAGAAAATACTATCTTTGTAAGTTGACACTACAAAATGTGTTTAAATGTTTGTCTTTGAGTGGCATTAGACTTCTTCGGAGATCAGTCAATCTATCTAAAGGTTGTTTTTATTACTGTTGCACAACTACACGGGGCACAGGGATCTTCCAGTCTAGAAATTGGATGAGAAAAGAGATTTTTGACTTTTGTTATTCTGACTTTACAAAATGTTATTCCTGTTATATTTACTATGTTACTTCCTGGTTTTAAATTATGCAGATGGTATGATTATAAACTTGGTATGTTATACACTTAACCAAAACTCAAAAAATGTACACAGATTTTTGTTGTGACTAACTAGATGATATTATATTTTCATTTCAAGTTGAGGTAACCAACTTTCAGTCCACAAGAAATCAAACACAGATGAAATAGCTAATACCTAGTAATGGCCTAAGTATGTCGCAAAAGTAAACAGCTCTCAGCAGTTCATTTCGTCAAAAGAAACAAAAAACTTCATATAAAGTTTTGCGAACCACTTTGTAATTGAATAATGCACGAGAAAGAAAATGCAAATGGATAAAACTAAGAAACAGATTGAAGCCGCAGTTACTTTCCCCAGCATTTCTCGGGTTGGGTTTATTAGATGAGATCGAGTAAATTGACATAAATGCATTAACGAGAGCTCACGCCATCTTTAATGAGGCAGTAATTTACACGGCTTAGAAATCCAATAAGACGCCTGACACGGGATACACTTTCTCTTTCTCCCGAAGAGATAAACGTACAAACCATTTAACTGTGTTTTGCTATTTTTTTCTCTCTTCACAGGAAGTGATTGAGGCGATCTCAGAGTGCGCATTCAAGACCTCTCCCTTCCCAATCATCCTGTCTTTTGAGAACCACGTCGACTCGTAAGCCTCTCTCCTCAGCCACTTACGGTCTCACCCCATCCGTATTATGAACGAAATGTTGTTTTTGTTCCGTTCTCCGCAGACCAAAGCAACAGGCCAAAATGGCGGAGTACTGCCGGTCAATATTCGGAGATGCATTACTGACAGACCCCCTGGAGAAATATCCTGTAAGTGCTTTTCATTTCTGACACTTTGAGGCTTCGGCTTCGGCTGCTGCTGGTTTGGTTCTGATTTTTGCTTTTTTTTTACTAGTCCTACTCCCAACTTATGTGTGCAGGAGTGAATGCCGCCAAAATCGCTCCTCTGAGTTTTTTATTGATTTAAAAGACTGAGATCCTGGCCAAGGGTTACACATTTCAAATATCAAAACATACAAATCACATTCATTTTAGGCAAGGCAAGTTTATTTGTATAGCACAATAATAATCACAGTACATTAAAAAGAAAGATGAAAAATGTGTATGCACAGCTAAACGCACCTGATTTTAACCTGATTTAAACATTGTCAGAGAGAAGGCCTGTTTCACATATTCAGATAGATTGTTCCAGATTTTAGCAGCATGAATCTGAAAAGCGGCCTCCCCATGTTTAGTTCTGACTCTGGACACTAACAGGAGTCCAGTCCCTGTGCTCCTCAGAGTCCGGGCTGGTTCATATGGGACTAACATGTCACTTATGTACTTTGGTGCGAGGCCATGGAGAGACTATTAAAAGTTTGATATAAAATCAAAATATTTTGCTACATCAAAAACAGAACTGGTGTAGATTTCAATTCAATTCAGTGTATTTTTGTTTAGCCCTTAATCACTTTACAAGAGAAGATAAAATAGACTTTATTGATCTCACACTGGAGAAATGTACTTGTCACATTTGGCAAAGATAGAATCACTCAGATTGTGCAAAAGACAGAAGTGTGCAACATGTTAAAGGCATAAAATATAGTCTGCAGGATATATCATGTACAATAAAAAGTGGCAATTAAAGAAACAGTGGCAATAGTTTCTTTAATTGTGCAGGTTTTATCAGTCTGACAGCGGTGGGGATAAAGGGCCTGCGGTAGGGTTCCTTCTTGCAGCTCAGATTGGAGAATTAAACCGTTTGAACACAGGAAATACAATAATAACAAACACATACAGTAGCAGCGATTGGTCCATAGAGGGCGGACGACCATTGTTCGAAGATGGCGGCAAATCTCGGATCATCCCTAATGTTCTTTGACTCCTGCATCTGCAAAGGCGCTGATTTTCTCCTGCCTCAGCTTGAACTCCATCCATGCTAATGTGTTAGACTCCAGCTCAGATCAACACAAAAACCTCTCCCTTTTGCTTTAAAACAAACGTATGGCCTCTGAATGAGTTTTGGGAGGTCAAATATTGTTCTTCACAACTGTGTACTTTCAATAGAAGCGTGCCATATTAGATGTTACATTATTTTAAGGTACACTTTTAATACTTGCTCAAAATTTAAAAAAATTAAAAAGTACTAAAATCAAAAGTTCTTTATTTCAGATTCTTGTTTTTTCGAAATGTACTTGAACCAAAATAAAAAGTATAGTCTTACTCTACAGCTACATCGCATTTAGCCACAAAATGTATTGTTAGTTTAATCAGTTCCTGAACAATAGGTGGATACAGTAATCACAGACACATATATTTGCACATCTGCAGTAGTACAGTAGTATTCCCACAGATAGTGCTCTGTTATCAGCTGTTGTGGAGGACACGATCCCGGGCCTGGCGTCTGCAGATAACATCGTATGAGGAGACGGACATGGTGCCGTTTCAAAGCCTTTATTTGAATCTAGTCCCAGGTGTCATGCTTTGTTTACGTTACACCTTGACGGTCCATAAAGCAGCGGTGCACGTACAGTATGTAAAGCGCCTCCAGTCCCCTCAGGGTAAACAGAAAGAGAAGCTGTATGAATGTGACCTTTTACAACTGTTTGCAATATACGGAGCTAATCAGAAATATGGTTCGCCTTCAGGATGTCACAACAACAGCGAGAAAACATGTGTGCAAAACTTATTTCTGCTTGATGACTTATTACAGTTTTTTTTCAGTCGCTTTGGTGCCTTTCTCAGATCAGACTGAAACTATGAAGCCTAGTGTACATCGACAGAGACAACTAGTTCCAAGGCGGCTTTTGGCAACTGAGAGTGGATGATGGGAGATGATCCGTTGCCGAAATCGGTCGATGTGAGCGCTCTTACAACAGGAGATAAACAGTCGATCTCCAGTTTCAGTCAGTTGCCCGTGTTCTACTTTTTGGCAACTAGTTGTCCTCAGATCCGGAGATATCACCCGATGTGCGCGCTCCAACAACATGTGTTGAGAGTGTTATCATGTGACGTATTGCGCGCCCTCAACAGTTTATGTCAGAAAAAACACTGTTGTTGAGGCCAGTTGCTGTCGATGTAAGCGCTGTTATTCCAGAGACTGGCCTGCTACTAGGAGTTGCCCGTTTTTGCCAGATTGTCGATGTCAGCAACTCATAGGTGACGGATATAATCAGTTGCCAGTCCAATGTACGCTAGGCATAAACCTCCACAACATTGAGGCATGTGTGACAGCATTGTAACAACTTTTTTTGCATTTTCAAACACAGAAGCCATCATTTATGAAACTTCAGTGTGTAGGTGGTGTCAATGTATACCCTCATCCCACATTGGATCTTGCGTATTTTGAATCTACACCCAAAATGTACCCCTTTTCCTGCGCAAGTTCCATAAAAAATGAGGGCCAGAGAGTGTAAACTGTCACAATGAAAACATGACAAAGCCAAATGACTCTTGTTCATCCATGTAAATACTGGTGCTAGGACTTATTATTTTGATAACGCAGACATGGAGAGGCAGCTTTTCAGATTCAAGCAGCTAAAATCTGAAACCGTCTACCTGAAAATGCGAGACAGGCTTCTACAATGTTCAAATCCACATGAAACACACTTCTGTTTATTTTTAACGTCCTGTGATTATTTATGATTTTAATGCCTCAATGTGAGATTCTTTCTATCTTGTTTTGTTCAGCACTTTGTGATTGCCTTGTGCATTAACTGTGCTATACAAAAAAAAACTTACTTTGCCTAAATACATGCAACAACAGAAATACATGCATGTAAGAAAGTAGTGCTGGAACCAAACTGTTTTGCGAGAGTGTGAGTCCGCCCTGGGCCCTGGCAGAGTCTGCTGTAAGAGCGTTATTCTTACTGTCACTGCAGGCGCTAAATGCTATCTCTGCTTCCCGTCTCCATCGCTCACTCAAACCTGTGGCTATTTACGTGCGCAAGAAACTAACTATTGCCCATCAAGCCTCGGTTCTCTCTTATCTCGGCAGAGGCATCGGACCGTGCAATTAAACGACCGTGTAATCTAAACGCAGAGCTTTTCTTGGCGAGTGACTTTATCTGGCTTGATCTTCCGTCGCTCCTGTTGTCATGGTGACGGTGAAAAGCTTGCTGGCTGGTCCCTTTTGTGATCAAACTCTCCTTTTATTTCTTTTAGAATGGATATTACCCCCCCATTTATCACTGCAATGGTGATTACAAGTCTAAGAAAAAAAAGGTTATAATTTTAAAGAAGTTTCACAACATTCTCCATTGTTGTTGGTCCTTAAAGAGGCATTGTGTCTTTGTGAACATGTTGGATTTGATTTTGTGTTTGTGCCTGTTGTATGTCCTGTTTACATGTCTGGAGTTCAGGTGGACTACGGGCACTGTGGCACATGTGCACTGTCCCAATTTAGATAAATGAAACCAAAAATACAAAAACGAGGGATTTGTTGTAGCGTGCAAAGTTTGAGATATGAGCTTTTAGACAGAAGGGGCAGAGGGACGTGTTTGTGCCAGAAGTTCCTGATTTCAATGTGAATGTAGCTAAAAACAACTCCAGATCTGCTGTTGATGAAGGAACAACGTGGTTGAAAATTCTAATTATTCTCCATTTGAAAGAGCAATGACAGATTTGTAATATATATATTTTTTTAACCATTTCTGTATTTCTGTTACAATTACCAATTGCACAAAATATCTTTTCTTACAAGAAGTTGCTTCTTCTGCGTAAGCACTTGTTCTTCTTATACCCTTCGTTTTATCTCAGGGGTCGGGTCCAAACTCATCACTGAACCTTCACGATACAAAGGCCTTTGTTTGTGAGAAGAGAGCAACATTGTATCTAAGGGACTGTATATAAGACTGTATATAGTCGTTATAGCGTTATACCGTAGACTGTATATAATATGCACAATTAGAGATCTATTTAAGTCATTACTAACTTTTGTCGGCAGCATCGTCCTGCCTGTGATGTATGTAGTTCATAAGCACTGATTACTGCTGCAAACCACCTGCTGGGGCTTAGCACTGTACAAACTCTGTGTATTACACATGATATTTCCTGCATCTGCTTTCATTTAAACAATCGCTTTAAAACCAGAGGAGACAGATCCTTCCAGGCAGTTGCTCCTCGCCTCTGGAATGAGCTTCCTCAGTCTCTGCGTATCTTAGAGTCTGTTGATGATTTTAAGTCCCAACTAAAGACGTATTTGTTTAGACAGGCTTTCTCGCCTCACTGTTCTTAGGCCTCTGTGAATGTAAACTGTGTTTTTCTGTGTTTTGCTTTTATCTGACTTGTATGTGTATTTTATGTGTTTTAATGTGTGAAGCGCTTTGTGATTCTGGTCTGTGAAAGGCGCTATACAAATAAACTTTACTTACTTACTTACTTAAATGTGTGGTAACATCAAAACTCACGACTGCTAAAGTGCGATCGCGGAGATATCAAACGCGTTTGTTATAGGTATGTGCGCTGCAGCTGTCAAAAGCTGTGCATACACTGTGAAATACAGCTGCAATCACGCCACATGTCTCTTCTGACTGTAAATAAAAGCCACTGTCATGTTATACTATCAGTTGTACGATGTTATACGACTATGATGTTGTATAAAACATGCAGAATTGCATGCAGAAAAATCAGCGAATCAGCGAAGCTGCAGAAGGTGAACTGTGTTATAGTGAGGGACTGCTGTGATTCAAAATGAAAATATTAGATACAGTCCCTTTAAGTGTGAAATAATAAAAACAGCTGTCTCTCTGCTTCATGTGTGCACATTTCATGGCAGTGGGACAATCGCAGGCACTTGTCAGACTTAGCGGGCTGCACCATAACACGCCACA